GTGGGATCCGAACCCGCGGGCGGGAGCGCCGCCGCGCTTCCCAAGCGGTGCACTATCCAGTGCGCCACCGGGCCGGCCCCGAATTTAGGTATCTTGAACTAGATGACCTCTGACTTGATACTGAGATGATCCTTCCAGATAGAGGATTGGTGGAACTAAAGAAAGTAAGAAGCGCTACATTTGTTATTTTCCTGCTAAACATTCTTACTTTAATTATTGGGCCATAAGTAGAACTAAAAATGTTACACACACACACACACACACACCCCAGAATGAGCATAACTTCATGAGCATATTACAGAGTAAGATTCCCAAGAGATAATCCTGCAGATTGAGAGTTTTCCTTGAGGACCAGTAACCTGAGAGTCATGGGAAGATGCGTGCAGTTCTTGTACTTGTCTTAATGCCATTCTGGAAGTGCATGTGCCGCTGAGCCTGGCTGGTTCCCAACAGCTTTTTTAATCTAAGAACAAAGAAACCTGGCATTATTTAGTTTTGAATTACATGCAAAGTGACCAACAAAATCTGCACGCTTTTTCCAACATCTTGATGTGAAGGTATTCTTCCTGGTAGAAAGGAAGGGAAAATGAAAGTACTTTTTTCCTCTCTGATTTGTTGACAGCTGCCGTATGTTACAGGATTTTTGCTGATGATTTTCTCCTGCTGCTGGGGATTTGGTTAAATTCCCAGAAGAGCTGAACCATATAAAGTCATCTCTATGGAAACAGCAACCCAGTCTTTGCTTGCATTTGTGATGACTTGCTGTTGAATAATCAAATTGCATATTGTGCATTTTTAAAGTGTGTGTTTGTGTGTTGAAGAAGAAGGTAACTTTTCATTTTTGTGACTTCTAAAAATTACTGGTTTTGAGTTGCCGATAAAAAAAAAGGCCTTGAAATTCCTATGTATGAAATATTGTTCAGGGTGTTTTTATGTCAGGGATTGAAGAATCAACATGGTCCAAGAAAAGAGTTAGGATTTTAGAAGATTAAGTCCCAGTCCCAAGAATTATTTGCCAGAGAAAGAGGCTTTTGTTCTAGAAAGGATTCTTAAAGTTTAATAACTGAGTCCAGAAACAAGAGGACAGCGTGAATTATAGATTTTCTTTTATTCAGACAATGAAAGAAATATTTTGCAGTTGATATGCAATTAAAACAGTGGTTGCTAGAATTTTGTGCTGAATTTAAATATCTTTTTAGACATTTCTCCCTTAGTGTAAGCCATTAAAAACAAATAAAAACTAGGGTGTTAATTGCATCCTATTGCTTTCCTACCCTGGGAGTTCTGGAGTTCCAGAGCTCTAACAATCCTTTACTGAGTATTCTCACAAAGCCTAGTGGGAAAAAGATGATGGGATTCATGGAATATTCATCTCAGCTCAACAACTCTGTACTCTTCCTCTATTTTGTGAGATTTTTTTGGCCCCTGACTTATGCCTATGTGATGATAAGTTACACAGTATGTCTCTATGTCATATGTACAACATGCACTACCTGCTGATGATGTGGGGACAGTGTCCCTTCTACTTAATAAATGGAATAACTACACTCTGGATGCTGAAAAGCTGCATATCAACTAATAAGTCTAATACCCATTTATGCAAATAAGTTGTCAAGTACAAAAATAGCCAGAATAGATCTGGGAGTCATGTAGATTACGAGCTGAATAATAAGCATTGTTAATGAAAAGACAAGCATTCTAGGGCATGCATGACATCTCAGAGAAGTGACACAAATGAGCCGGATTTTAGAACTTAACAAATATTAGCAAACATTGTATACTGTATAAGTGTGACCTATACAGATGCTACATTATTTTAGCTAGCTACTTTGAAGGTTGCTGTAGGAATTATGTGGTATGCCTCTTCAGGAAGCAACTAGATAATAAAAATAAGTTCAATACTGAACATAATTCAATTTAGTATTATTATTTTTATTATTATTCTGAGTACCTAACATGTATTCATGTACTTCGTGCTACAATGAATACAAAGATGAGCAAGATGCAATTTCTGATCTAAAAAATCTTTACATCTAATGGTGCGAGTGGGAGCAATAAGACACATTTTACAAAAGAAAGCACAGTGAAATAGGTGCCACAAGAGAGATACTCCAGGGATTTAAAAGAGAGCAAGGGCACAGAAGGAAGATCACATTGAAGTGGCAGGTTCTGAGTGTAGAGAGAGGAGCTGTGGGTAAGGGGGGTGGAAAGGAAATTTGGGTGATACTGAATGCTGGTCTAGGTTGTCAGTTAATTTCAATAGATAATGGATGATTGTTTCTAATCAGGGTAATCATATAATTGGAGCTATGCTTTAGAAGAATTTTTTTAGCTTTAGAACTTAGGATAGAGTATGAGGGGAGACAGGAAGACACAAGAAGAGTTAGGAAGCTTTGGTAATATCTGAGGTGGTAGTGGAAACAGGAGGCAAAGGAGAGACGTGAGGGATTCTGCAACATGCCTGTTAGGGTGAGGACTGATTTTGGTCTTTGTATATCCTTAGTACTTAATTGAGTCCCTAAAAAGGTATTCTTATATTCATAAAGATATAAATTTGGAGGTGAAGGGTTTAGAAGTAAAACAGTTGGGGAGAGCGTATTAAGAATGTTCCTCTCTGGCTGTCAAGTACACTAGGTACATCACTGCTAATGACCGCAGCATTCCTGCCAGAGCATGACATTTCTTCCAGATGAAAGCTGCATCTGTCATGACAAAACCAAGTCTCTGAAGCAGGCACTTTAGACATCCCATTTAATGGTATGCCACCAGAATTATGTTTTATCAATAATTTTGGGGGCATTTTTTGTTTGTATAGAGTATGGAAAACAGCATTGAAAGAATAAAATTCAGACTGTTTTCATATTTGATGGTAGAGTTATTTCTAAATCAGTGTAACTTTGAGCCACAGTTATCTGCCACAGGTTTATCTGC